AAGATAGTGTGTATTAAAATACTAGTATTTTGTTTAGCCGAAAAGATTAAGTGAGAGAAATGATTGTTGAAATCGAGATGATCTTTTAATTACGTATGAGTGGAAATGAATTAAAAAAAGAGACAAATATGTTTTTCAAAATTAAATAAATATTTGTATATTATAAAAAAGATTATTAGACATTTTTTTTATCCTTTTCTAATTTATCTCTCTCTCTCTATTTAAATTTCTCTTCAATTTTGGATGAAAGATTTTAGTATAGATTCCAATATATATATATATATATATATATATATATATATATATATATATATATATATATATATATATATATATATATATATATATATATATATATATATATATATATATATATATATATATATACACTTGCAAGAAGAGTTGAACCCACATTCTTACAATAAAATATGAATAAATTTTATTTTTGTTGTAAATTTTTATCATATTTTAAAAGTTATAAATAAATTGTCATAATTTTTTAAGTGAAAAATATGAAAATAAAATATTTTAAATAAAATTATTATTTTATTTTATTTATGATTTTTAACGGTTTGACTTGGCTAAATAATTTTATTTATTATTTTGATTAGAGTAAGTCAAATCCTCTATTTTTCTCTATCTCTCTCATATATAACTTCTCAGCCTTTATTAAGGGAGAATAGTTTAAAAAAATAACGTGAAAAATCTTGTCTTTCATTCCTTCTTCTTTTTAGTTTTTCTGGTTATATCTACCGACCAAAATTTTTTGTTGTTGTTCTAATACATCATATTTATATTGAGAAGAACCTGTTAATCCTAGGAGATTTGTTTTTATAAGGCGAATAAATCCTTAAGGATAACGTGCTTATACGCCTCGAGTTTATGTAATAGTTTATTATTTTGTAGGTTTAATGGTTTCTATAATGAGAAGAGATGATCGAATTATATTGATAGTTAAATTTCTACAACAAGTATCAACTAGATAAACTTTCATTGACATACATGTTAGACAATAAGCTTTATTTTTTATGTGAAGAAATATTTAAATATTTTAATCTCTTATGTGTTTCACTTATATAAGATATTTGAATACTTAAAAGAAAGTTTTCTCAACGAATGATGGCAATTAAAACATTGTTCAAATCTTAACCTATTTTTGATTTATGCAAGATTAATGATGGAAAAGCCGATAATATCATGGAAATGTTTTGATCTTTCTAAAGGTGATGATAAACACACTGAGCCAGTTCAGGTAGAGAAGACGAAACAACATGCAAAATTATCAAAGTCCTTTGTAAAAGCGGTGAATAATGTGTGTAACATCTCAGTGAATCAGCTCTCAGAGCCTTGTGTCAAAAGGGATCATATGTCCATTGTAATCCTATAAGATAAATACCAGTTGGGAGTGGAAGTGTGCAAGCATAACCTCCATGGTCGAGTTATTTGTTTAAAAGGCTCTTCACCACTAACGGTTTAAAATCTCAAATCCAAGCTAACGAGTTTGTAGAAATCAATAGGCAAATAGGGAATTACATCCCTAGGTAAGGGTTATTTTGAATTTTCATGTTCTACTCTAGAAGATGTTAGGAGAGTCAAATCGATCACCTCGTGGAATCCTAATCCGGGATTCTTAAAATTGTTTCCTTTGACCAAAGACTTCAATCCAACTCTGCTGAAGCAATCTTCTGCCCAAGTGTGGATTAAAATTCACAGCTTAAAGCAGGAGGGTTGTTGTCTAATTTTTTTTGCCATAACGACTAGTATAAGAATTTCATTGTGTATTGACTCAGCTTCAAACAAATGTAGATTTGAGAGATCGTTTGGATATTTTATAAGGATCTTGGTTGATTTGGACTTGAGCAATGACCTCAAGTATAAATTTTTAGTGGAACAAAATGGTTATGCTTTTTTTGTTGATCTAGAGTATGAGAATCTTCTGGAGTTCTGCAAGAATTATAACATCATTGGTCATAATTTTACCAATTATAAGCGAATAGGCGATTATTGCTAACGATGAAGGGAAGAAAAAAAAAGAAGTGAGAGGTAGATATGGAGGGAGATACTGGACATAAGAAAAGTAAAATAAAATAAAATCTATGTTCAAGTGAATGGTAAGTCAAATGTAGCAGGAGAGTCAAAGAAGGATAACATAATTGATTTGGAGGCCTAACCATCAATTGTGATCACTGCAAGAGGGAAAACGATGGAGAAAGGAAAAAGTATTCTAAATGAGACAATTGATCAATTGGAACATATGGAGGTCCTAGCTAGGTTATGGAGATGGAAAAATATGGAGGAAGTGGAAGATATGGTAGAAGATACTGATAAAACTCTTGATTTGGTTATTGAGGAGGAGGATTTAATTGAAGACTCATCTTTTATAGATAACACACAAAATGATCCTGTCGATGTAGTACTAGAGACCAATCCTACCTAGGAGAATATGGTGCAGCGGGACTTGGCTAGACATGGAATCAGTGTTAAAGATCATGATGACAATTCCTTTGGAGTAGATACTGAGGGGTTCAAGGAAGTGAAATCCAAGTCAAAAAGGAAATCTCATAAAAACTTAGCAGCCAAAAGCAATTACACAACAAGGTCAAGGCTTGTAAGTACTCGTAATTCCCCATAAATTGATTTTTTTTGGAATGTGAGAGGGATAGCCAAGTCTCCTACAAAATTGGCTCTCAAAAGTTTAGTCCTTAGTTCCAAACCTCGGTTTTTTTTCATAGAGGAGCCTTGGATGGTAAAAATTTATTCCCTCTTACCTGGTTCAATAGACTTAATCTAAAAAAATTTGTTGTCAATAATATAAATGATCTTTCTCATAACCTCTGGTGCCTTTGTGAATTGAGTCTTAACTCGGAGGTACTGTACATAGATGATCATCACATTTCTTTTACTATCAAGTTGAATTGTATAACCTTTGGAATCTAAATTGTTTATGCTTCTACTTGTTACATGTCTAGAAGGAATTTGTGGAATAAGTTGCAGGATACCCTTCAAAATCACAAAATTCCTTGGTGTTTCATTGGTGATTTCAACACCATTATTAGGGCTCATGAATATAATGGTTCTTCCAGACCATCTAGAGGCTCTCTGGAGGAGTTTGCTCCTTGGTATAATAAGAACCACTTGTTACATATTCCAACTTCTAGTGCTAGATACACTTGGTCTAATGGCAGAAGTGGAGCTCATCACACTAAAAAAAAGCTTGATAGGGAAATTTGAAATCAGGCTTGGATAGAATCATGTGTGCAAACAACTTATTCCACTCTAATCAAATCTAGATCTAATCATTGACCCCTTCTTATGTATTTCAATTGCCAATAAATTAATTTTAAGGCCCAATTTAAATTTATGCAAATATGGACCACACATCAGAATTGTCACAAGGTTGTGGAGTCTTCTTGGAAAACTAATATTGTTAGGTGCTCGATGTATGTTCTAGCTTCTAAGTTCAAGATCATCACTAAAGTCCTGGCAGATAGACTGGCTCAAGTGCTCCCTCATATAATCTCAGAGGAACAAAAGGGGTTTATTCAAGGCAGAAGCATCAAGGATTGCACTTGTTTTCACCTATGAGGTGGAAAATGCTATTCAAAAAAAGTTTCTTGGTGGTAATGTCATACTAAAAGTAGACATAGCCAAAGCTTTTGACACCTTGGACTGGAGATTTCTTTTAAAAGTTCTCAATCAGTTTAGGTTCAATGATTTTTTTTTTGCACCTGGATCAGAATAGTTTTGGAATCAACAAAGGTGTCTATTTCCATCAATGGGGATCTCAGAGGATATTTCAAATTCAAGAGAGGTGTCAGGTAGGGAGATCCTTCTACTATTTTGCATGGTTGGGGATGTTCTTAATTGAGGTCTTTCTCATCTGGTTTCTAGCAAGAAATTCAAGCTGATTAAGGCTAGTAGGACTGTGTTGATTCCCACTATAATACTTCAAATTTGTTCTACCCTTCTATCAAGAAACATCTAGCTTATGCATCTTGCATCCTTCATATACATACTCCTCGGTAGGTCATCTAGCATTGCATGTATAATTAATCAATAATTTGGCATGGGATCAAGGATCATTGAGATCAGGGTTTCTACATGGTTTAAAGGTTTCATATCAAGAGAGCTTGATTTAACTGGTGTTTTCATTGAACACGGATTAAGACTAGGGTTTTGAGTCTCCTTAACACACAAGATCATGTCTTCATCAATATTCATCAAAGGCCAAAGGTTTCCAATCCCTTGTGTCCATGCATGGAAATGTTTCAACTGAGGTTCATTGGGCTTCATGTCAAGGTGCTCTTCTATGATTCAAGTCTTACTTGCACCAAAGGAATCGAGGCATCGCTATCTTGTTGCTCACCAAGTCAAGAAAAGTTACAATATGTGATTTATGGGTTCATTGGGATCAAGGCAGTATTATTCTTGATTGTTTGTTATTTTAGTGTAAGTCAGAGGATTGAACAGAAATTAGGGTTTCTTTAAGAAGTGAATATTGATTTGGGATTCACTGTTGGGAAGTATTTACTCGATGGACTATCTAATGTCATGAATTCAAATTCGTGTTCAAATTAGTCAAATGCATCGAAGTTGCTTGAGTGTGCACAAGGTTGGAGAAAATTTCATACGGATAGCTTATAATACAAGTTACAAAGGAATTCACCATGGAACTAATTAATTCCATCATTCAAGTTCTATCAACAACGTCCATGATTCAAGAAAATTTTGAGCTTCCTCAAAAGTCCAACAATTTCTTTCACGTTCTTTCCAAATAATGAGTGAACATTTACTATTTACTTCACCATTATAAGTTGATAATTCCATCAAAAGTTCATCACATTACATGTTCATCCATTCTTTATACAAGATTCAATTACATACCAAGGAAAAACTCATAAATCACATCCATCCGCCTGTTACACATACATATTGTCTACAAAATCCATAGCATACATCAGCCCATCAAATACATATATACACTCCAAAATATATTCTAAATGGCCCTTGGCTCCTTAATATGTCAACTGCCCTGCTGCAAACTGGTTCAAGCCAAATTACTCCACCCCAATTCTCGAAAGTTGCCCTGCATCCAAAACCAATACAAGACATTTCAAAACATTACTTCAACTAAACCACAAATCTTCCCTGCGTTCACTAATCTTAACAATGCCCTGACAATTTCTCTACCAACCAAAACAGTTCCAAAACCCTTGCCAAAACTTGCACCAAACTTGAATAAAAAGAAACCTGCAGAAAAGTCAGTTTCAGCATCCTCCAAACTTGTGCTTACATCAAACAGGCTGCAACATCAGTACCTAACAGAAACAGAGAAAACCGATTCATTAAAACCAATTCACTACCTTTTCTTGAGACCAATTAAACTAATGGCCATGTATATCATCAATAACAGAAATTTGGAAAAAAAACTAACTAACAGAAATATCTCAGCAGACCAAGTCAGGAAAATATCAGAAAGATAAGAAGGAAACTGTGGAAGAGATAAAATCAGGAATTCAAGAGAATTAAATCAGAAGCAATTGCACTAACCGATGACAGTTCAGTAGAAACTATTTCAAACAAACAGAATTTTTCAGCACGTCATCAATTAACAAAAACAATTGGATAACTAACCTCTAAATCAATCCTATCCATCCAATTTTCTAACTGATTTTCAGATCTAACAGCTCGGATTTGCTTAATCTCTAACTAACTATTACTATCAGCTCTAACAGTTATAACAGAAAACTATAGCAAAGCCTTCACTTGACAAAAACAGAATTATAACTAACATCTAAGCGATTTCTAACTGAATCTCTCAAGCCAGCTCATTCCCTAACAGAATTTCATAACCTCCTAACTGTTTCTAACAGAAATTCAACAACCCCCTAACCTTCTAAAAACTAACTAGAGTGAGACACTACGAACCAAGAGATGAAAGATTGAGAACCGCCGGCGTTGTAGCAGAAGAAGGCGGTGGTGTTTTGATGGTGATGTGTTTGTCAGAGCAAAACGAGAATACAAATCGAGAGAAAGAGGAACGCTGGAGTTTGAATCGGAGGAGGCTCTGTCGTGTTGAACTGAGAGTGAGACGATGAGGATAAGATTACGCTGCGAGTGGTCGAAGAAGAAAGGAGGTGAAGTTCAGACAACCGGCGCCGTGGATTTGCAAGAAAGGAGAAAGAGTCGAGTTATCGAAGAAGAGGAAACGACACAACTTCTTGAACCATAGCTCAGTACTACACTGTTTCGATATCCTTTGCAATTTTATTTAATTTTCATTCATTTTTGTTCAATAAAAATGTAATATCCAAAGCAAGATTTGAAATAGTTTGAAGCTATTACAAAAAGAATAGAAACTGAGGACCGAACCACAATTCCCTTGCTAGGCCCATACGCCATTTTTGGCACAATTGAGAGCTGAAGGATAAAAAAAGGCAACTTTGGACCTTCTGCAAATGGGCCTAGCATCTGAGATGTTGGACTGCACACCTGAAATCAAGCTTGCATACCCTTATGTTTGGTTATTTGGATTTATTTTTAATAGTTTCTTTTGATTTTGCTTTTCAATAATTTTGATAGCAATGAGAGGGTGATAAGAATGATGCAAAAAAAAAAGAATATGTTAGAATTATTTAGGATTTCTCTTTAGATTTTGATTAGAATTTTGTGATAGTAGTGAGGCAGTCTTTTTTGATGTGGAACGCTAAGAGGTTAATTCGTTTGATCACGTGTGCGAAGCTTCTGTAGAGTTTTCTTATCGCTCGCGGGGATTTGAAGAGGCAACGGACCTTCTCCGTTAGGTATCATCATGACTTTATTTTATTCTGCATCTTCGCATTTCCTACCGCTTTCTGATGCCATGATAAGTAAGAATAAAGATGCATGCTTTACAGATTTTCTAGATATCATGAGAAGTAGGAAATAAAGAGCATGCGCTCGAAGTCGTTGTTTAAAGACCTGTAGCAGACATTGTTAATGATCGATGATGTCACTCAATTAGAATTGAGATAACGACTTCAATCCCTTTACATGTCCTCTATACGATAGTTATCCTAACCCTTAGGTCTTTTCCATGCTAACATTGGTAGACAATTCTCTTTTAGCATTTTCTTCCTCTTTTGCATGTGCATTAAAACTAAAACCTTTTTTCTTTCAAAATTCAAAAACACTCTAATCATACTTAAACCCTTTTTCAAGGTAAAAAACATCAACCAATCCAAACTCTTTTCGCCTTTGGGCCTTTTATCGAAACCCTCTAAAGGATGTGTTAGTTCTACTTTAAAGGTACGACACGTAAATCCCCAAAGACCGGGTTGCACCCATGTCTACTTGCCAAAAAGTTATGTATGAAACATTATCCACCTTCGGGAATTTTTCTTTTGAAGATACCTCGCCAGATATGAGCATGTTATTTCCTTTATACTACATACGCGTGAGTCTCCCAGGGTCGAGCAGCGGTAGAATGCAAAGCTTAGCATTGTTCCATTAAAAACACAAAACAAACAAAACACGTAAGCCGAACTATGACGCTCTGATTTCTCAAAAAGGATACGTAGGCAACAGGTCGCGGGGCCTAACCTAGCAAAATTCGTAAATACTTCCTTCTTTTCCCCGCATTTCTTTTGCATGCATTCTTCCTTAATAGTAAGCAGTAGACATAGATTAGACACACCCATAAGATAAATAACAAGAGTGGATACCGTTAGAGTACTACAGGTGTGTAGGGTGCTAATACCTTCCTATTGCGTAATAGACTCCCTTATCCAATCTCTTGGTCACAAGACCGTGACTTCTCCCTTCTCAGGTTTTCTCGATGTTCACGTTTCCCTTCATGTGGAATAAAAGACGTTTGATGGCGACTTTATTATTTGATGATTTTCGGCCGACTGTTTCACCCTCTCATATTATATATGTTGCTAATATAATATTGTTCACTAGCATATGAACTACTTCTCTTGATGCCATTGTTGATCTCTTAGTCAAATATGTTGAGTACTCAGGTCAAGTTTGTAATCTCTCTAAATCAATTATGTATACTGGTTCTATGAATGTTGTCAGACATGGTCTCTTGTCCAGCAGTATTGGTTTCAAGATGGGACATCTTCCTTTTTCTTATATGGGCGTTCCTATTTTCAAAGGAAGGCCCAAAGCCTCTTACTTTCAACCAGTAGCAGACAAGATCAAGAGCATGCTTGCAACTTAGAAAGCTAGCTTGTTGGTAATGACACGTTGAATTTAACTGGTCAAATTGGTTATTCATTGCATGATTCTTTATTTGATTAGGATTTATTCATGGCTTGTTAGCTTAATTAAAGAGATTAAAATTTGGTGTAGAAATTTTATTTGGATTAGTGACATTCATAAAAGGAAATTGGTAATGGTGGCTTGGAAATTGCTGCCATGACATAAAGGATGTGGGTTAGGATCGGTTCCTTGGACTATTAATGAGGCCAACAATATGGTTTAATGTTGGAGCATAATCAATGAGACTAACTATTAGGCCACCATTCAATGTAGGATCAGGTTATCTTTGGTTTGTAGTATGTGATGTCAAGAGGAGGAATCTATTAATCATCTTTTTTTTCCAGCTGCAAGTATTCTAGGGAGGTTTGGCTTTGGCTAGGGAGCATGCTAGACACGAGGATTGTCATCTATAATCATGAATACTACTTGTCAGTTATGACTTTTAGTGTTTCTGCACAGTGTTAAGTGGTCAATCGACTTTCGATTATAACTGCAATTAACGATATTTGGCGTGCCATGAAATTTTCTAAGTTTCAAAATACTCACATCCACTAGAGGTCTACTGGCTCAACCATCTATTCTTTAACAATTTTGGATGGCAATTCCACATCTGGGTGCTATAACTTGGCTATCAAAGACTTTGTGGTGCTAAAGAATTTCTCAATTAATATCAACAATCATAAGCCTCAGGTTTGCAAAGAATTCATATGGTGCCCTCCATCTTGGAGGTGGTTGAAGGTTAGTATTGATGTCGCTTCTGGAGGGGTTTCGATTAAGGTAGCTTGTGGGGGGTATTTTTATAGACCGTTGCAGTGAGCATTATGGCAACTTTACATGTAATTTAGGTAAGGAGAATGTTCTCTTTGCAGAGATTATGGGAGCCATTTTAGGGATTGAGCAGGCTATCAATCACAACTGATATAATTTATGGTTAGAAACAGACTCTAAATTAGTTTTTTTGGCGTTTAGTAAACCATCTGTTGTGTCGTGGAGAATCAAGGAGAAATGAGACAACTGTATGCACTAGATAAAAATTTTGATTTTTTTTTTGGCAACACATATATACAGGGAAGAGAATCATTATAGAGATAAGTTGGTTAATTGATGAGTGCTAAAATGTTATGAATTTGAGTGTTAATAATTAGCACTCATCGGCTTAATTCGTTTGCTTGTTATCAATAAACCTTCACTTTTAGTGTATATTCGGTATAGTTTACGTTATAATGTATTTATTGCATCATTGTGTAAATATTATCGAGTTTAATTAATTTTATCTCATTTTTGTAGGTATCCAAGCTTTGATATTTAGGCATTGTTAGATAGAGCATTGAATAAGCTTTCCAACCGGGCACGAATCGGAATTACAGTTCAAAAGTTATGACCGAAACAGTGCAGAATGATGTGTTGGTTGTTCAACTTTCTGTCATCCGTCATCGGGCGACAATTTTGGTTGCCGAGTGATGCTAGGCGAGCTGTAGCATGGGAAAAACGATGTTTTGGTCGCCTGGCGACGCTTTTTGGTCGTCGGGCGATGCCGCACGAGTTTTGATGTGAGCCGCAGATATATCACCAGTTTGTCGTGAGAATTTAAATAAAATATAAAATATTTAATTAAATTGTAAAATAGGAAAAATAAAAAATAAAATAGTCAAAGATAAGTATATAAGTTAATCAAAGATAAATAATTAAATGAAATACATTCTTTGTGGTGCTAAATAACTTGGCTATCAAAGACTTTGTGGTGCTAAAGAATTTCTCAATTAATATCAACAATCATAAGCCTCAGGTTTGCAAAGAATTCATATGGTGCCCTCCATCTTGGAGGTGGTTGAAGGTTAGTATTGATGTCGCTTCTGGAGGGGTTTCGATTAAGGTAGCTTGTGGGGGGTATTTTTATAGACCGTTGCAGTGAGCATTATGGCAACTTTACATGTAATTTAGGTAAGAAGAATGTTCTCTTTGCAGAGATTATGGGAGCCATTTTAGGGATTGAGCAGGCTATC